CGCTGCCTGGCCGCTCACCCCAGCCGACCCCCTGGAAGGAAACCCAGTTTCTCCTGAGACATCTCAGTTCTACAGCGAGTGTTTTAAATAGCTTCGAGAAGTGCAAAAATCAGCTCAGGGGTGCTGGGGTGTCCCCAAGAGCACCCCGCTCTTCACGGAGAGGGGACGAGATGCTGGTGCCCTGCACCTTCTGCCTGTCACAGCCTCATCCTCCAGTGCTGCTCCGTCCCCGCGGCAGGGTGATGCTCCAGCCTCCCCGCTCCCCTCAGAAAACACACCGAATTTCTTGACACCCCCCCCCTTCTCCACCTCCCAGCTGAATCCCCAAGAGTCAAAAACCTCTGAGCACCTCTGCCCAAGGGATCTTCGGCAGCCACGAAGTTTGCGTTCATGTGAAAAGGAAAAATCTCTTATAATACGGATATTCAATATATATTTCAAGTCAGTCGAGGCTGAACCAGCCGTCACCTCCCGTAACGTCCGGCCAGGGCGCGAGCCAGCGACTGCTCCCCCAAGGTCTTGGCGTGGAGGATGCCCCAGTTCGGTCTCCCTGGGGACTCGGAGGGGCAGCTGCCCGCGTCCTTGCCACCCCTTGGGGAAGAAAACGGGGACCGCCGCCACGGTCCAACCCCCGCGGGCTCACGGGGACGATGTGGGCTCCCTGCTTTCGGGCTTGTCACTTTTGGAGGACTTTGGCTTCAGCAAGATGAACCTGTTGAGGAGGTCGGTGTCCGAGCCAGCCTGGGCGCCCGCGTACGCCTCTCCTGGGGACGAAGCAGAGGGTGGGCTCGCGCAGGAGGGGCCGGCCCGGGGGCCAGAGGAGCAGCGGCTCCTCAGTGGGGGACGGGGACGCTCACCGGCATAGCTGGAGGACTCGGCCATGTTCTGGGAGCCGGTGATGTGGTGCCAGTAGGCGCTGCGGGGCAGCATGGTGGTGGGGGTGCAAGGGTAGGAGAAGTGCTCAGTGCCCTTGTTCAGCAGCTGCGGAGGACGAGAAGGGGTGACACGGGGTCCCCTGAGCCCCCTCCAGCCATGTCCCCAGGGTGGGCTGGAGCTCACCCTGATGTTCTTCTCCATCTCCAGCAGGACCCTCTTGTGCTGCTCAGCGATGGCCAACGTGGCGCTGTGCACGCGCTGGTAGATCTGCTCGCCCTCCTGCGTCTGGAAGGTGTAAAGACCTTCCCCCGCGTCGCACATCCTGCAGGGATGGGGCACGGGGCGTCACTGGGGTCCCCAAGCCAGGGATGATAAAAAATAGCCTCCCCAGGTGGCAGCTGGCCCAGCTTCCCATGCTTTAAGTGCCATCCCCATGTCCCCTCCATGGTGCTGAGCTGGGACCAGCTCCAGCCCCAAACCTCCCCGGCTGCGGGGCACCCTATGTGGGCTGTGGCCATCACCCTGGTGTTAGGCCTGTCCTGGGGTGATGGCAAGCAGTGCCACCTCCCGGTGCGCCCAGCAGGAGGAAGGCACCCAGTGGTGGCCCCCATCCCAGCGAGGGTGACGTCTCACCTTCCGGCCTCGAAGGTGAAGCGGGTGGCGTCGCGCCCGTAGCGGCGCAGGGAGCAGAGGGGCCAGGAGACCAGCTTCACCCGGGGGTTGTGCGTGTCCCAGAGGTAGATGTTTTCATGGGTGATCTGCAGCTTGCACTCGCCGTAAACGTCCAGGTTGGGGCAGGGGAGGAGAAACACGTTGAACCGGTCTGGAGAAGGGAAAAAAATAGAAAATAAAATAATTCAGGGGGGCGTAGCGAGGCCGAGCCCCGAGCGAGCGTCCTACTGCCACGTGCTCACCCGTCTGCTCGCACTGCACGCCGGGCGCCAGCAGGTCGGGCTCCCCCAGGCTGATGTCGTTCAGGCGGGCGCCCAGGCACTCCACCGACAGCGTCTTGTACCAGTCCTCCGCCTCCAGCTCTGCAAGGCACCACGGCAGCCGCTGGGTGACCCTGACCAAACCAGGGTGGCCCACCGGCACCCCCAGCATGGCTCCTCTGGGCGCTGCCCCATACCCGAATCGCAGGTGAAGGTCCGAGCAGAGTCATCGGTGAAAACGATGGCCACGGCCTGTCTCTTGGTCTCCTTGGGCAGCCGGGTGATGCACTTGACGTTGCTGATCTCGGTGACCTGCGGAGGAGGTGGGTGGGGGGGCACTGAGGGCTGTACCCAAACCCAGCCCCACTGCACCCAGACCCCAGCTGCTGCTGCACCCAGAGCCTGGCTGCTGCACCCAGAGCCTGGCCGCCACTTGCACCCAGAGTCTAGCGGCACCCAGACCCCAGCTGCTGCTGCACCCAGCCCCCAGCCCCTGCTGCGCCCAAACCCCAGCTGCTGCACCCAGACCCTGTCCCCTGCTGCACCCAAACCTGGCCACCGCTACACCCAGACCCTGGCCCCTGCTGCACCCAAACC